ACCGTATGTCCCGATTTTCCGCAATGAGTGCATTGATACGGGTTTGGCATCGTCCGTGGGGCAGCAAATGCCAAGGCGTCCGTGTGATCATCACGAGCACGAACCACACTCTTATGTCGTTCCTCTTGAGTAATCAAATAAAATGCCTTATTAAGATCCACCAATGGTTGAGTTCCAAGAATTTGACCACGGATGCTACCAAATTGTTCATCATCCAAACCCAACAAAAACTTCCGAGTTTTTGATTTTTCTGCCCGATCCTTTAACAAAGCCGCTGCCTCACACTTGCAACCGCAAGTGGGATCCTCCATGCCATATAATTTATTCCAAATAGTGACAAATTGATTATAATAGACCACCACAGTTTGGCCTTTTTGACGAAGATTTTGAAGCTCGTTTTCAAGTTGGTAAATGTGAGGCTCATTTACCGTGCTATAACGCGCCTTCAAATCAGTCCACAATTCATGAACCACAGTATGGGAAGCAACACTGGGTTGAATTGTTTCTTCAACACTGTTAAAAATCCAACTACAAATTGTAGAATTATTCGCTTCCCAAGCCTCAATTTCCATCGGATCTGTAGGTTTAGGTACACCAACGGGTGACAAAAACCCTGCCTTGCTACGACCCTTCAACGCATTCACAATAGTTTTCTCCCATGTATCAAAATTATCGCCTTTCAAAACATGCTTCGTGAGAGCATTACCTGGGCCTTCGGAAGGATGAAGATAATACTCAGACGAGGGATCATGAATCAAACGAGTTTTCTTCGTGGTGGACGTCATTGCCGATTTTCAAAGAGAAACGGAACAAAGAGCAACAAAGAGACCAACAACAGTGCCGCAACAAAGAGAAACAGAACAATCACCGGAGACCAAATTATTGGAGTCTTGTTCCAATAATTGAAGAAAGGCCGAATAATTGTTCCAATTATTGGAGTATTGTTCCAATGATTGAAGAAACGCCGCAGCAATACTCAGCGATCGCCGGGGAAATTCGCTGGCCACACACGATCACACAATCACACGATCGACGGCGTGAGTCGATCGAGATCAGCACCGAAAAAAAAACGTATCTTGCCCAGGGTTTGGCTCCGATACCATGTAAAAAATAAGACAAAAAACTGATCTGTTTTCATTGAACAACCAAGACTGTATATATACAAGTTTACACGAGACGGGCTAGGGTTACACATGTGGGCCCAATACAATAATACAACTAAATACAAATATCCGCTAACAGTAACCTTGTGAATGAGGAATTGAAGGTTAAATGATTATGAAAAACTATTAAAATAATACTCATCACGTACAATATCTGTTAACATTAAGACCAAGATTAATTTATTTAAGCACCTAAATGCTGAATACTTATCATTGACGAAATATCTAAATCTAAATGTATTGGTACATTTGTGGAGATATTTGGAGGAAAGTTGTTAATTTTTTTTGGGGAACTAAGACTAGTTAGATAATTCAGCAGTATTATTGTGTAAAGTCACCATTTTCTTTGCTAAACTGTTTGTGGAATTTGTAACTACATTCCTTGATATGGAGAGGATTATGACACACAGTTTATACATTGGAAAGTAGTGCAAAAAAGAGAGTGAGATTGGGCTTGGGAAGTTCATTAGTGCCTTAGGTTTAATCGATTTGCATGTTGCATCATAGTGCCTTTGTCATGTTCTTTTTTGTTTTCATGGTAAAATAACTGCATTTAATTACTCCATAGTAGTTATGTATGCAATACATCCATCTAACTTAAGAAATACCAATGGCTTGCATTTCAGTAAATATTATTACTGCATTTAATTACTCTGTAGTATTTATGTAGATAATCACTGCTATTCACATAGAACTTGTGCAGTGTCCTAATTAGTTTTTATCCAAAAAGGATTATAGCTGGCATAGCAGAGTTAATATCTTTTCTCTTTTCCTGGTACATTATAAATAACAATGCCTTGTATTTCAGTCATATTAAAACTGCATTTGATTACTCCTTAGTATTTATGTCTGCAACATGTTATCATTGTTATTCGCAAAGAACTTGTGCGGTTGCCTGATTAGTATGTTTTATCCAAATGGGTTATTGGGTTTATAGCTGGTATAACGGAGCATATAAAATTGGATCGTTATTTGCACCCACACTTGCGCTACTACACGAGAGAGGTGTGAACTGTTGTTTACTCCCAGTTCTTGGAATCCTACAAAAGTGTCACAATTGAAGCAATGGCTGATGCATTCGGTGTTTCGTCGGACTTCATTGATACGTACGTTGAAAACCTTTTCTAAGACTGAGGCGTTTTGTCAATTAATATGCCAACTCAAGGTTTTCAATTAATATGTCAATTAATATGCCAACTTAAGACTGATGCATTCGGTGTTTCGTCGGACTTCATTGATACACCATATTCTTCTTTTTTTGCCGTTGGGGCTGCGTTTGTATGAATTTCGTTTTGACTCCAAAGTCAACTAAATTTGGAGGATGCAATTGAAGGAGGTGGAGCAGGGAGTTCGGGGTGGTGTGGGGGGTTTACTTGGGGGTTAGGAGAAATAAGAACTGTCAATTTCATGAATGAGTATCGTAGGGTTCCTGGATCATCCCATGACATTGCTAAGCAATGTCATGGGAACCTGAGTGTTTTTTAAATCCCTGAGTGCAACTCGTCATTTTAATCTCGAATGGATTTTGAAACTGTGTCAACTGATTTGATACACGTGATTAAATACGATAGCTGATTTGTCTTATGAGAAAAGTTATTGACCTGTCCCTATAAGTGTACCTATGAATCAATTTAATTCTTGGACTCCTGAATAAAATTAATCGTTGAATCTAAAAAATGTGATCAAACTAATCCCTTTAAAGAAAAATTTCTAAACGGTGTTACTAAAAACGTTGAGTTGGCATATTAATTGACAAAACGCCTCAGTCTTAGGATTATCTTATGTTTACTATTTAAATTTTATCTACTTTGATAAAATATTGTTTTTAATTATTTGATTGAAAAATAGTCCTTTCACTTTTAGATTTGTAGATTTTTTGATGTATTTTTTAAGTATATAAAGTTTATTTTTAAATTTCACACTAACTTTTTAAAAATTTAAATTGAAAATAATTTCAATTAAATATCGTAAACCTAACGGGAAATTAGGGTTATAACAGAGGGGGTAATACATAGTGTTGTTGTTCTTGTATCAATTAATGTGCTAGGTCAATAATTATTATTGATAGCAAACTCCACCTTCTTGTTGAAAGAGGAGAGCCGGTCTTGCGCGCTAACTCGTGAGCCGACCTAGGCTCTTAAAGACCAGCCTTTCACCGATGATTTTTCTTAGAAAGATTGCGTAATGCTAAATCCATCTTCGGTCCGTAGCTGATAGGAAGGAAAGTAACATTGTTAAGACAAATTTTGTTAAAATAACTATCTCGATTTATATATTTTTTAGTTATCTATACTATATTTAAAAAGAGGGGAATTCTCGCTTTTGTTTTCTCGCCTATGCGCGTATGACACAAATAGTTAGTGTTAAATATCGAAATGGTAATTTGCCATGTGTTAGTGTTAAAGATGAATGGTAATTAAAACATATTACCGTGTAGAATAAAAATGGCAATTTGCCATTTGTTCTATTACCCTATATATATAAGATAATTTAATTTAATCAATGGAAAGTGTAGAATTTAGAAATGATAATTTATGTCCTTTTTGGTCAATTAACAACGGTTAGTTGCACATTATATGGTAATAATAATAATAATAATAATAATAATAATAATAATAATAATAATAATAATAATAATAATAATAATAATAATAATGTTATGTACAAATGTTTTTTTGATGTTCTCCATTTCTTTCGATAATCCCCATTAAGTTAGACCTTTGTTTTCCCCTTTGTAAGCCTATATATAGAGGCTCTATATGTTGAAATGATATATCCTTCTCTTTGATCTCTCATTGCATTCTTTCTCCTTTGATCCATCATTGCACTTTGATATTTCATTTGTGTTCTTATCAAGGTATATCTCTATCATTTTGTTCATAACAATATTTCTATTATCTTAATTTTTCACACATTATCAGCACTATTCTAATTTTATAGAAATTACACTCATTCATCTCTTGTCCTTGTTGATATTCAAGTTATAGATATACATATACATATTCATATACATATACACATATTTATTTTAGTTTTTTTTAGTGAAATTGAAGATATATTGAACCTAAAGCTCCTAAATATATTAGAGAATTGGCATGTGAAGCCTACATTATGTGTTAAAGTTAAAGGTTATATGATAAAACTCAACCTGAAGCTTGAGTACATATTATGTCGACAAAAAATATCATTTGTTTAGTTTTTTTCCTTTTGGCTAGTGAACTTGAGGTTCACATTCTGGTTTCATATGCTCGAAGAATTAATAGTGAAACTCAAACCTGAAGATTTGAGTATGCCACACGAATATATATATATATATATATATATATATATATATATATATATATATATATATATATATATATAGACACACACATATACATATATACATATATACATACATATATATATATATATATATATATATATATATATATATATATATATATATATATATATATATATATATATATATATATATATATATATATATATATATATATATATATATATATATATATATATATATATATATATATCTATATATATATATATATATATATATATATAAAGAAATCATCCACAATAGCACCCTACCTATTATAAAATACATAAATAGCATTCACATCCCATTTCCTACATCTTTAGCACCTCTAACGTCATACCCCTTTTTAATATTCCAATTTTAGCCTTTTCAATTAATTTTTATCCGTAACCTGCACCAAATGAGGAGTGAGCGCTACGCATCACTTTCGCCCACTTTCCCCTTCACCTGCGTTAACTGTGGAGGGAGTTATTCATCGGCCGTTACAACCTCATAGCCTAATACGACGCTGTCAACGATGATTATTCCACCTCCAAACACATATAATCGCAGTCATCGTCCTTGCCGGCTACATCAACCGAAACATTCTAGGTATAGGATTTTCCTACCCGATTCCAGGGAGAGACGCAGCTTTCTAAAGAATTCGCCGGAAGCTCACATCGCCGATTCCAGTGAGAGACGCAGCAGTCAGGGGACGCAGCATTCAGGGTCGGTATGTATTTGCAGCGTGTCCATCACACATCATCAGACACTTTCCTCAGTTGATTTCATCTATTTTTTTAGTTTAATTTCTTTTCATTTACCCCAAATTTCTGATTTTATGTTCATTCTTTGAACGTCTTCTGTCTATTGCTCTATATCAAACCCTTGATTATATACTATGTTCTTCTTATCCTCCAATGTTAAGTTAACTGGTAAAAATTTCTCTTTTTGTTCAATACCATCTATATCTGGATTGTCTGGACTTTTCATCCAGTTTAAGTAAGCAGTGTTGCATATAAAAAAACTTACAATTCCTTGTATTACACTTCTACCGATTCCTAATCGTAACTGCACACTTTTCCGCATCTCAAAAACAACTTTTTTCAATGCGAAATGTTATTTCTCGTCAATTGCATTCTTTTTTTGGGAGTTCAAAGCTATATGTTAAGTTTTACAAGGTCTAGTCACTGACCATGTCATTTTTCTCTGTTCAAGGATCAACAAGCATGGATTCACATATTAAGGTATTGGTGCGTGTCGATGGAACGTGGGATACCCTTGGAAATTTCAGTTCAAAGTACGACATTATTATCGATGTCCGTTGTGAGACCACTCTAAATTCACTCATGGACACCGTTAAAGCGCACATTCCTATGGACTGGTCTCAAAATGATGTTCGTTTCTCTTACATAGTTGCCTTGTGTCCACCCCCTATCGTTATTTCGGATGATGCTGAACTGCTCTTCTACTTGAAGTTGAAGTCTTACCAAAACGACATGTCATACCTGCCATTATGCATGGAGGTTTTACCTACTGATACAGTACGTGATATGTCTGCTCAAGACATTTCATCATATGCTCCCGCCAGTAACACGTGTTACACTACACATACTCTGGCGTGCACTCCCAACCTAACGGGGCAAAGCAACACAAACAACATGTCCAGCAAAACCTCTAATGGAGACTCTGCTCAAACAGTATGAAAAGAACCAATCGGACCAAACGTAGGACACCTTCTGCAAAACCAGTGGACGTATTTTCACACTATCACCCGACCACTCTTCAACTTGACAGCATTTATAAGTCCAAAGAAGACTTATGCCACCATCTACAAATGTATGCCGTATCTAATAGCTTTCAGTACAAGACAAAGAGGTCGAATAGGTCCGTGTTGCACGTTGTATGCATTGATGACCGGTGTTCATGGGCTGTGCGTGCGGTCAGTCTTGACAAATCTCCATTATTCCAGATACGCAGGTAAACTCTAATTTTAGTACATTAAACTTTAATGCAAACATAATAAAACAGACCACACTGTGCACTCACTTCCATATGTAACCCTCTCATCACATGTATGCATTCCCAATTTAACATACTCCTAACATCCTTCTCAATTTCCGAAAAAATAACGGCAGTGTCCCCCATCCTAACTCTCTCCCCACACTTCCAAACATGCACACAATCACACATTACACTTCCTACATTAACAGCAAAGCCAACGCCACATGACCACACACAGATTTCGCAGTAATTTCTTAACTTCGAAAAGGTATGTCATTAGAATCATACCAAACAGCCGGGCAGTGTGCACACATTTCCATATCCCTCTCTGACACCACACGCTCATTGTCCATTTTCCCAATCTAATAACATACACATCACCAGCATAGAAGGCAGTGTTGGAACCCCCCACCCCAAAACTCCATGCATTTTTCACACACCACTGCCCCTCTATGCAATACATTGACTGCATCCTCAAAAGTGCATTTAAACACAACAAACACTCAGGCATTTAACACACACTTTTCATAAAAGTTTGTCCACACACATGGGTACTTCAATTTTGTTCTCTTAGAAAAACCTCCTCATTCATTAATTTGCAGAACTTCTCATAGACATATACCCGTTAATTCACATCACACTTTTCTGTATAACCAGACAGCCACGGATCATGTGATAAATTCTTTTTTTTCCAGGTTTGATTCATATCATTCATGCCCTGTTGACTTTTGGGAAGGTGATCACAGACAAGCAACATCAGCATTCTTAGCCGATCTAGTCCTACATCGTTATGTAGATGCTACCAGGAAACAGTACCCTCCTAATGACATACGGGACGACATGCGTCTGGAGTTTGGCATTGCAATGTCATACAGGAAAGCACTACTCGTGAAACAGAAGGCATTAAAAAAGTTGTATGGATCCGATGAAGAATCATACCACATATTACCATCTCTTTGCTATATGCTCGAGACGAAGAACCTTGGCTCTTCCATCAATCTGTATAGGACCGAAGATCAGATATTCAAATATTTGTTCTTCTCTTTAGCACCGTGGAGACAAGCATGGAATCATTTTGCCCCAGTTCTCGTCATAGATGGGACATTCATGAAATCTTATTACAAAGGAACACTATTAACTGCTTGCTGCCAGGATGCCAATAAACAGCTTGTCCCCATAGCCTTTGGAATATGTGATTCGGAAGATAAGGACTCATGGTTGTGGTTTCTTAGTCAATTGAAAACCACCCTGACCCCAAGGCATGATCTTTAAATTGTCTCTGACTGTCACGAGGGGATCCTTCATGCTGTTCAAAACATTTTCCCTAACGCAGGTCACGGGTTTTGTACCGAACATATTGCCCGAAATTTGCGTGTTAAATTTAAAGGTCCTAAAGAAGACTTAACTTGGAAGTTTAGAAAAGCATCACGTGCACCAACCGAGGTGGAGTGCGAGGAATACCTTCAAATGCTGGATGAACAAGACCACCGAATACGTGCATACCTCAACCAAATTGGTCAAACAAAATGGGCACGATGTAAAAGTGGCCCATTCCGCTACTCTGTAATGACGTCAAATGCAGCAAAATCAATGAACAACGTCAACAACTCGGCACGTGAATACCCCATTTGCAAGCTAGTTGATTTCATTCGCGAAAGGATGCAGAAATGGTTTCATGAACGGTTTGAAACAGCGACATCTACATCAACCATTCTACCAAAGAAGCTTGAGTCCGAATTAATTACGTTACAACGTGATGCATTTAAGATGAAGGTATATATTCATTACCCATTCAACCACTATAATTTGTAAATAATTCATATATACTGCAAACACCTCCCGGTATACGGTCCTACATTGCATGTCATTAACACTCCAAACTGTTTGTAGGTTAAGCCATCTTGCCCATACGAGTTCGAGATTGTTGACCGGTGGACCAGAACTTTTGTGGTTAACCTGAGAGACAAGTCATGTACATGTGGGGATTTTCAATTGGACCATTTTGTATGCGTACACGCTGTGGCAGCAATAGGATCTCGTCCAGGTCTATCGTGTTATAATTTCATCTCACCTTACTACAAACGCGAAGCATTAGTAGCCACCTACAGCGGTATTGTGCATCCATTAGGTGACAAGTCTACGTGGGACATCCCGACCGATGTGAAATCACTAGTTTGCAAGCCCCCATCATGCACCAAGCGCCCTCTAGGAAGGCCAAAGAAGAGGAGGCTACCATCCGTTGGTGAATTTCACACCGGAAAAGGTCGGAAAAAACAGAAGTGCACACGGTGTTTGAAGATGGGACACAATATAAAAACATGCAAAAACCCTATACCAACTTGACAATGCTTATTATTCATTATATGACTGCGTTGCAATATCTATTATCCTTCCACATCTCTCCAAAGAAAAACACATACGAGTATATTTTTAGGAGCCATTGACTGGTTACGAACTTTTTGAAAGGTGGCATTGTTTTTTTCTTAAATAAATCATATGATATACAACTTCATTACCACTTTTTTAAAAATCTCGCCATGTACAGCAACAATAAAAATCTAAATGATTCCAATTGATTTGCAAACTAAGACTGTAACAACAACCAACAAGAAAATAATCAAAAATCACACACCCACCACATACAAAATTCCAGTTCCTAGCAACTTTTTCAATTATAAATACATGCCCACAGAGACATTTAAACATTACACTGCACACACATAAAACCAACTACACTGCCTGTTACACAATACTGCTCAAACAACTACACTGCCTGCTACACATTACTGCCTGCCTGCTACACATTACTGCCTGCTCAAACAACGACACTGCCTGCTTCACATTACTGCTCAAACAACTACACAAATTTTTTTTTGTTTACCATGCTCTCTCTATATCAACGTAAAACGACCCCGAATTTCCAGACAAATCACATGGAGGCAGTGGCACACTGGAAACGATCCCAAAATAAAGCAGTGTTTAACACACTGGAACAAAGGCAGTGTGTACCCCACCCCCCTCCCCCAGATTCCTCATTTCTGCACAATCACACCTCACACTTACTACATTATCTTCAAGCTCTCAGCCGCATGAGCATCCATACATTCAACAGTAATACCTATAGTTGAGAACATACTATGCTATAAATACCCCAAAACAGCCATGCGGTGAGGCGCCACTTCCATATCAATGTAGGAAGGCCCCGTAATTACTTACAACAACTCTCATTCAGGCAGTGTGACACTGCTCTATTATACAATCATAACATCGGTATTAAGACAAACATCAACAAATTGTTCTCCAAGCATCCACTGCCAATAGCCGAAATCCAACCTCAACTTGCAAGCAGTCCTAAAACTACCCACCCTAACAGAGGGAACCCCACCCCCACCCCTTTTGTAAACAACTCACAATCCCAAAACCACAATGCCAAACTCCCCTGACCCCCCCACCCCCACCTGTGTCTAACTAACTTACACTTCCAATAACACACTTCCAAACTCACCATGAACCCCCCCACCTCTGTCTTAATAACTTACACTTCCAATACCACACTTCCAAACTCACCAAACCGCCCCCCCGTGTGTGAATAACTTACACTTCCAATACCCACCACACCAGAGGAGGTATGTCACTTCTAAAACGCAACACAATTCCCACTTCACCACTCGAAGGGTGTCCTTCATCTCAGCAGCAAAACCATACACGGTGTAGCAATGCGACAGGTGCACACAGTTACCAAATTATAAACTGACCAAGGAAACAGTTACCCTTCAAAATACTGCCATGTACCAAACACTGACATCAAACCACGAAGAAACAAAAAAAATGCAAGCCCACAATGCCAAAAATAATCTAACAGTGTCACACCACAACCAAAAGGTCTTACACCAGAAAATGAAAATACGTGACAATGTCGGCCCCGATAAATAACGAAAACGAAACCCCTAAACTAACCCACACGCACAGCATAATCCCCGACACTAATCCCATATATCATACTAAACGTGTTCACAATATCAAGTAACAACCACACCCCCCCCCCCCCAAAATGCCCCATGACAACGACACAATGAGGAAAACCAGACGAGAACTTTAATTGTCATCGGCCCTCTCTTTTTGCTCATTACTGTAGACAATGAGCTCCGTAGTCATCTTCACCCGGTATCCCTCCATATCGCGTGAATGCACTTCAGAAATGTTACGGTCCATCATCAAGTACTCTGCAAACTTCAACATGAACATTCCACAACTGCACCTGCATTTTAAAATACAACTGTTAACGATACTAACCATTCGGCTATTATTAATAAAAAAATAAAATGCAACATCAAACGATCTATTATAAGCGTAAATATACCACATACCCGTCATCTTGCTGGGGACACCCATCAACCACATCGATAGAGAACTTACGCTTTCCCATCGGCCCATCTGAGTGCTCTTTGTACACACCCAATAAATCCACCAGTACTGGCAGCAACTCTGTTAAACATTGCACATAAACACTCAACGACCGACAAGCATTTCCCTTCCTTCCTTTCGAATTGTATACCCGTATAGTCCTTCCTTCAACCTCTAGGACCAGCAATACCCAGTGGTCGCCAGTGTTCAGGGGCATATACACGAAGTCACACTCAGACCATGGTCTAGAATATTCCCGCACCAATCCTTTCACCTCACTAGTTAGATTCCGATTACTGATGACTTCTTCCTTCTTGGCCTTTCCAACATTCACCATCTCTTGATGTGTATACAGCCCTTGCAAGAAATACGGGGTTGTTGTTGTGTACATCTGCAATAGGTTATACTGCCTGCCCTTCACTTCCAGGAAATGCATTGCTATCTCAACATGCTGTATATCAATTCAGTTCCCACATAAGTCAGTAATCAAAAAACAAAACACATCCCTTAGCTTTCACATTCATTTAATGCATAAGGACCACACTGCCATTACAGTCATCCCAACAATATTCACACAATGCCCTGTCCAAAAAAAACAACCCCACTTCCTCATATTTACCAAACTACATGCCCACAAACCACGACGGTCAGTGATAAAACGGTCTACATCCATTATAATGCAACTATCCAATCAATTAACTCAGCCGTCATCTGTACATAGCTAGAATCCTTCACCTCAATTGACTCAAATACTACGCATTGTCCCTTATAAAACCATTCTCACTGCCACATTACTATTTAAAATATAAAACAGAAAACATTGCTAAGTAATGCCCAAAAAAATCTCCCACCCACATCATTTCACAAACACTCTAAGATATCCCAAATTCAAAAACATGCCACAGCCACAAAGTTTTTCACATACTTTCACAAAATTAAACAACCAAAAAAGCAAAAAAACAAAACATACCGTGCTGCGCAACCACTCGGTGCTTGTAAACAGCTCATATATCCATGTCTTGTTCTCCACTTTAAAACCATCTAGGACAATGGGATTTTTCGTCATGTTCTCCAACTTGCATGTATACCTACACGTCGTATTACCCCTTCTGTGACGTTTCAACAAGCCCTCATTCAAAAATCGTCTCACCTTCTCTATTTCCTCATCTGCAGGCATCTTCTTCGGATCCTCTGAAAATGGCCCATAGCACACACCCGTCCTATCACGGCTAAGACTAGCATGATCCATCCTTTCAATCTTACGCCTTTTCCTGTCTTGCTCAGCCTGAGAGGGAGTATATCTCTCAGGATTTTTGTGAACCCTTTTCGGGCGTTCAATCTCAACACATGAACTGTTCGAATTTGAAGCCATAGAACTCGCCTGATCAAATAAAAAATGCAAAATGTCGCAGGGACAAAATATAATCAGGCAGGCATACACAAACACACGGGGGGTACATTAACACACCACATGGTATTAATTCCCACTCTTAGAATATTGATAACAAATTTTAACATTAAAATTACGCTTAAATAAACTAACCACCAGAGGGTCTTGATCACCCATCTCTTTCTGCCCCCCACTTCCCACACGGCTGATAGTAAATATTCTGTCAAAATCTTCGTCACCCATGCTAACCCTCTCTGCGCATCCAGTGTCATGCTGCACCACTTTCAACCTGTTCGAACCACTCGACCCCTATAACGTTACAGTGTTAAATACATAGTGCGACATCCGGAAAGTGCAATTCAGGCTAAACACATCTGAAAAACCACACCACCCAAAGTGTAAATATTATTCATTTTCCCAAATATATGCACACATATAACTAACCCCAACTGTAGCATTAACGTCTAACGGTACTGGCACAACAGTTGGCATTGTACAGTCGCCACGTTTCATGTCCGAATCATCACCACCGTCACTTTTCCTGCATTTCCCATCATCTGCAACCTTCGACTCAACCCCTTCACAAGAAGCTGCAGGAACCTGCCATTCCAAAACAATTACAACTCAAATATCATTCTGGCAAATTTACATACTACTTTAATTGGCCTAAAAAACAGCAGTATAAAAAAGCAGCACTTTACACTTCTGGCATTATGTAAATAGATAAGCACCCTTTCTGTTTCTCTGTCAATGCGCTCTAGCTCGCGAGGATCATATTGTGTCTCCGTGTAGGGAATGTCTAAACACTTGCTTTGCTTTTCTGCATCACACGCTTCTGCTACCAACAAATTACCACTTTTATCATTTTGCACGTCATCACCAACTGCATCTACTTTAGGCATTGGTGTCAGAAGATCGAATGATGGACCACCGGCATCAAAACTCAACTCAAGGTCATCTCCACATTTGACTCCAGCCTCCGTATTCCCCCCACTGCCAAAAGCTCCCTCCTGGACCTTCACTTCCTCACTGCCTGCCATCAAGGACCCCTTCCCTGACGCAGAACCAGCTTCAAGGGATGCAGTTTTTTGACGAAGAATGCCTAAAATTTCATCAAGCTTCTTGTCTTGAGCCGCCTGTTTCTCCTTGATATCTTTAATTTCCTCAACTATGCTCAGGTGATCACAAGCCTTAGAACCCACATAGTCCCTCTTTCCAGAACGCCCTCCCAAATTATTTCTTTCTTTACCACTGCTCCCCTCAGGCTTCATATCTCCATTACCAGGTGCCACCCCTTCAGTCTTCATCTTCCCCAACGCTTCTCGTATATTCACCTGCTTTTCCTTCACTGCCCGAACCCTTTTGGAAGCACTCAATGACAACTTCCCTTTCCCTTTCACTGATGAACTGATTTTTTCCTTGAATATCTCTTTAACACTCTCTAAAAGCATCTCCGCGTCGGTTGGCTCATTTACAGTGACTTGAAGCTGGAAGTGAAAAACAGTATTACTAAACAAAACACAATGAAAAAAACTAAAACAAAATAAAGAATAAAACAAAACCCCTAACCTTCCCAGACTTAAAAAGTGCTTCGGAAACCTTTGCAGCGTTGAACTTTGCACAAACTTTCCATCTTAAACAGCGGGGTATTGAATTCACCCTTCCAGGATCTAAGACACACATCCCGGCCTCCGCCAGCGATGGGAATGTCTCAAACGCCCATACCTTTAATGCAAACATGTACCCTCCAAACGTAGGTTGGGTGCTACCTCCCTTTTCAATGCACACTGCACACCTATACACGTGATCAACTAACTCTGACCACACGTCATCCCCCCATGGGTAACTATTGAACTCCTCCAGATCATCAACCAAATTAAGATAACTCATTGGCAAATTCACAGAAGGCTGGTTTCCAAGAAACGCATTTGCCAACGCATATATCAGAGACATCTTCAGGGCATCTTTTGGCATTGTACCCGCCGCATCACGATCAAATCTAAGAAACGCATTGCTGATCTCTCTTCGCTTAACTGCTTTACTGCTGCGGAAATACCTTGATGCAAACCGACCATTCACATCATTGTCCATTTGCCCTCTCAAACGACCCATTTTCAATCTAGTAATAAGATGGAACTGCGCCTTCGTCAAGACCACCTCATGTCCAAGTATTTTGAATTTCAAAACGTCCTTCCTTCCACCACCATCAGCTAATCTCACACAGTTCCCTACCAGATGTATTAGTAACTGCCCGCTTATCCAAGGACATTCCAAAACATCCAAAATAACACCAAATGCTGAAGTCCTAAACCTGTTAATCTCCTCCTGAGTAAGTTTCGCTCTAACCTGTCTTGCAACCTCGTTAACGTTGCAGTACGTGTTGATCCTCCCATCAAGTAACCCCCCTTTATCCACCCGCTGTGCCTCCTATACAACGTATAAAACACACATAAGCACAACACAAACTAATTACCCAAATCTAGGTGTATGACACACATGAAAATCATCCAATCAAAAGAATGGCATACACTGCCTTGCGATGTCACATACATGAACAAACCACAAAGAGCCAAACACAACACTAAATCTCCACAAAAAATACACTACCCCACCACAGCAAATATCCAAAATTACATTGTCCCTCAACAGTAACGAATAAACCCACACAATTCCACACTGTCAAATTTCAACTCCAACACCAAACAAAAAAAAAATAATCTACACACACAACTTCAACTAATCATAATCCCTGAAA